TTACAGTTGAAAGTGAAGAATCTTAAGAACTGATAAGCGAATAATCGCTTGAGTTCATGTGACAAGAAACAACAAGATAGAAGGGTAAAATAACTCTTTATTATTCCAATCAAGATTTAACAGAACTCCGTCTTGGAGTTGTACAATAAATCCGACATTTGGGCTTGAACTTAAGAGACTAAGAATTAAACTAAACTAATCTTAACTAAAGAGATATAGCCGAAGCTATCAAAATTCTAACAGAGTTGGCCCCTTAACGCTGATTGACTGCGAAGCTATCAAGGGCCTAAAGTACGCCGAGCGTAATAATAGCTTACGAGAGAGTAGCCTAAAAAGGCGGACGCGTGCAGCCAAAATATCAGGTATCTCTCTTCCTAAGACATGAACTTCGCGGTTAAATATCGCTCTTTCTCATTATGGATTCAGACGTGATTCTAAAACTACGCTCTGGCTGGAAGTGGTAAGTTGAAATTAAGAATCGATAGGAAAGGAAGTTTAACTCAAAATTTAACTGTTAATAAAATTAACATAATCCTTACAACCTACAAAAATTTAGTGGAAAGCAGTATTGTAGATTCTTCTTGTTCTTTTCGGGTCATCCAGTGGGGAACCCTACTGAAAAGACTACGTAGAGAATTTTTGCTATGTCTTGGGAGAACAGGTACTGCAGAATAAGGTTTAAGTAACCTTTTTATTTCAACTAAACAGAACGCACTAGATCGATGTTCACCGAGCGAGTGAGTCTAACACTTGTGGTTAAATAACTGGAACAAAAAATTAAAATGTAAAATCATAATAAAGTAAGATGGGCTGCACGACTGGCTCCTTATTTATCTAAACCTCTAAATCGTCTGCGGACAGAAAAGCCGAACCTAGAATATCAGTATAATCTGAAGAGTGTGGCTAAGCACCAACTGTTCACGTACAAAAGCTATTTCAAATTCGTAACTAGCTTTTTTACCACTACTCTTAAAACCGCTTCTTAAATACTGATTCCGAACTCACTTAGATTTGCATATTACATCATTAAAATTTACATTCTGCCAGGAAACTGAAATCAGAAGAGAAAGGAAAGTTTTACAAACTAAAACCAATTGGATAGAATAAAATAAGGTCTTTACAATATTTTTTTTTCCCAGAAAGGGCGACATTTTCCGATCTGACATTCTTCGAAGGAGAACCGAAACTTTAGGAAATTTTGTTGATCTCGTGAGAACCCCTCAAAGCTATGCTTTACCCAGGGTTCGAACCCTAACTAGCGGCGCCCACTTACCACATGACAGATCAGGCTAATTATAAAAAATAACAAATAAATAAATAGATGTAAAAAAAATTATCATTACTTGATAGGAATTTACATTTGAATGATTTGAGAATAATTTAAGCAAGAATGTTGAAAGCAATTATTAATTCTGTGATATTATATGTTATTTGGTAAAGTAATATATTAAAGTACCAATTCAATTAAATGAATGCTTTAAATTTTAAAATTTATAAAACGGTATTAATAGACATTGATAATGACTCCTAAATTTTACTAATAATGCGTGACAGTTCAGGAATTCTAGAAACTGCAGTTTTTTGGAAATAGGAATAAATGTTTCTTATTCAGTTAATTTAATTCTTTTGTATGCTACTTATTACTTCGGAGGTGGAAAAGATGCTAATACAGAATGGAAATTAGAGGACAAACATAAAGTAGCAATCTATTAAAAAAATTTAAATTTTAAAAATCTTAGATCAGGTTAGATTTTACGTAAAATTTTTATCAATATTAAACAGAAGTGATATTAAGGCAGATATATGTAAGATGAAATGTCTTCTGATACAAACTTAAAGAGATAACCAAAGAAATTCAAATGTATAATTTATAAAAATAGTTATAATAATAAAATATACAGTTATAATAAATATGAATTTTAGAAACGTTTGTAATTGCTATAATCTTACTGCTCATAAGATGTTCATTTGCTTTAACACATATTTTTAAACACTTTTCACAGTTCTTCAGTTAAATCCAATCCCAATCTTTGCCTTTTACTGAACAACTATACAGCGTTGTGTAACTGAAGACAAGCATTCAGAAAAAAATTTTACTTCGGTTTAGAAAACCTGAATCTTTGCTTGGAGATGTCTTGGAAGCATTATAGGTCTTACTTCAAACTAGAAATGTTATACGTATCAGAACACTGCATCTTGGCGTGTTTTGCTTTACACTTCAAGAGCCTGAATTCTCTAATAGACATATCATTATAGCTAGATGAAAATAACTGTCTTGCAGAGAAATAAAGTGCTTAATCTTAAAGCAGTCTCTCAGTTCAATGATACATAGCTGTCTGTTACATATTTAAACTGACAATATTTGAAACATGCCAAGATATTTCTTTGCTCTACTATTTCTCTTGAATTTTGGCCTGTCAATAATCTGTGGAATATTGTCACCGCAAAACAATATTGATTTCAACTTGCAATTTGACAACAGTCTAATCCCAAGGTTTTTTTTAAAGAAATTACGCTGGAATAAAAGTATTTTTTGCAAAATTTGCGTCCGCAGATTACATCTGCAGATTACAAACAGCAAAGCCTTTACTAGTTAATACTAGTTTTCTTCTTTTTAATTACTTCTCAGAACTGAAGGAAGTATTGCAATCGCGAAAAATGTTGGGTACCATATATCAAAGAAAATATTCATTTTAAACTTTCCTGAATACATTCGGACAATTTCTTCCGTTATATCTGTACGTACTGACAGAATAAGGGACTCTGATTTTCAAAAAAGTTTTAAAATAGAGTCAAAACGGATTTTTTCCTGACTTCTGTACTACATATGTATTTACGTCACACAACTCAAAGACGATTAGTAGTAGAATATTGAAATTTTGTATTTGGGAGTGCTATAGCATTTCTTTGTGCACCTCCCTTTTTATTGCAATAGGCAGCACGAAACGTATGTATATATAAACTCACACCCTTACTCGTCAAAATTATGTTCACACCGTGGAAACGCAGTTACTCGACCTTTATTTTCCCAATCGTTGGCTGTATTATATATTATCAGCTACAGAAATGTTTTAAATGATGAAAGTATTCATGTTTTGGCAATGTCAAATTTTGAAGAAAAGGAAAAAATTCTGAAAGCTTTCAGATTTTATATTACGCCTAAATGGGCGTTTTTCTCATGTACACACACATACGTGTTTCGAGAGCATCTGGGCTAACGCTCGTTTGAGTTAAAATATTTAAAAACAGCATATCTTTAGAATTTGCGATATACAGTCTCGCGCGCTGGCGATAAAAACGTTTTATTCCGTACAGTGTTGCCACTGTTCGCTTTGAAATCGTTGAGATTGTTAATCAAAAATTCGTTAAATATTTACAAAACATGAAATAGATAATAAAACAAATTCGAGCTTGTAGGTTTTCACAGTGCGAGAAAGATACATAGATTCATGCAAATTCTTAATTATTTAATTTCTTTAAATATAATAGAGGGCGATAATATTTACTAGCAACAATTTGAAAAATGATTCAACGCTTTTAATGGTTCGATGCAAAATGCCGTTTTGAGGCTAATAGCCCTTCTGGTCGAAAAATTAATTTTCGTCAAGTAATGAAATCTAACTTGTAATGCGATCTTCCGATTTCTATGCTTACATTTGGGAAAGTTTTATACTCGTTATGAAAAAAAAAAAAAAAAAAAAAAAAAAAAAAAAAAACTGTAAGAAATTTATTTCTTGTACGATAAATTCCAATTTTTGATTTGCCTTGAGAGATCAGTTAAGTTAGAATATTTAGAGAAAATAAGTTTAAATGAAGTGCATAAAAAGTGTGCATAATTTAATAGGCCGTACGAGGAAATCATATGATGCCGTTTGAAATCGTTTTGTGTATTTGTGCTGAACTCAAGAAAGAAGGGATCTTTTGGTAGCCTACTGTGTGTTATCCATTTTTGAATCTGAACCTCTCACAGCTCGAAATTGCTTAGAAAGCTATACATTTGATACAATCAAAGCTAGACTGAAGAAGTTTCTAGCATAATATTCGAACACAGATAAGATGTCGATGGACGATGATACCTCCTCTTTACAGGTACAACTTTACAGCCATCCTTGCCTAGACTTTAACGTCTTATTATTATCCGAAATGTAAAAGCTTTCTGTAAAACTGAAAACAAATGAAAATAAATTTAAAGAAAGCTGATTGTAAAGATATAAAGCGAGATAAATGCATAATGATAGCAGTAGAATATTGAGAAAACAATGGAATGCGTGTAAATTGGCAGAAGAAATAAAATTGCAAAATTACTGAAAGAACAGTTTCTTTGTTCAGAACTGCTTAAAACGAGATAAAATCAAAACCGCAGCTCTGAAGATGTTTTCAACATGATACTCATGCACAACCCAACGAAAACATGTGTGATGATATCTCAAAGAATGCAAATACAGTTAAATCTCTTCACGAATAATATATTTTTCTCCATTGGAAATAATAAATTGTTGTCCAAAAAGGAAGTATTTCTCGAGCGCTGCGAAAGTAGCAATGACATATATTTAGATAAGATTTTTATATCGCTTTTCAAACGAAAAACCAATAATCTCTAACAAAATCAGTTTTAAGATTACTCTTTGCAAGCATTAAAAATTTTGACGCTAGTAAAATTCTTAAATAAAGTTGTACGAAGATTAATCCAAAAAAAAAAAAAAAGTTTACAAGCAGAAGCATTTGAAACGTAATAATTGTGGAGCGAATATTTCCACCCAGGGTGGTTGACAGATGGCACTAGTTGTCCTACAGCGGTTCTACGTGTAAGTACCGTCAGCACGCAGACACTTAAGAGCGACAGTAATGGCACGAAGTCAAGAAAAGTGGTCTCGCATAGAGGTGCGAGCCGTAATTCGATTCTTATGGGTCAAGAATGTGGCCCATAAGAATCGACAATTCACATACAATTCATCGAATTAATTCACAGACAAATCATCAAGGTATACGGGGACAAAGCAATGAGTAGACAACAGGTAGCGAAATGGTGTCGTTCTTATCAAGCGGGCAGGGAGCATGTTGAAAACCGCAATATGGAAGCGAGCGGCCGTCCAAGTTCTTCAAGGACAGATATCAACATGGCACGCGTTGAAGAAATCATCCAAAGGGATCGACGAGTAACCGTGCGTGAGATTGCCTCAGAGTTGGACCTGAGTTATGGTAACGTTCAGCGTATCGTAACCGATGAGTTGCGATGTTCCAAAGTTTCTGCCCGCTGGGTTCCACGTGCGTTGTCCGCGGGGCATAAGGCCACTCGAATGATGTGCAGCCTCACATTTCTTCAGCGATACCATTCAGACGGCCAACACTTCATTGATCGCATCGTTACCGGTGATGAAATATGGCTTCCATCACTTCACCCCCACATCCAAAAGAGCCACGATGGAGTGGAAACACGTTCGATCACCGACGAGGAAGAAGTTTAAGGTCACACTCTCTGCCGGTAAAGTGATGACCGTTTTCTGGGATACGACTGGTGTTATCCTAATCGAGTATTTGAAGCGTGGCCATACCATTAAGGCCGATCGTTATTGTGCCACCTTAACGAAATTGCGTAAAGCTATCTGACGCAAACGGCCAGGATTACTGAGCAAAGGCGTCATTCTTCTGCATGACAATGCCAGGTCCATACAGCTAGCTAGATTCAGGAATTGCTGCAAAGGTTCAAGTGGGAGGTCTGGAATCAACCCCCATACAGCCCCGATTTGGCTCCAAGTGACTGTTTCATTTTTCCGGCGTTGAAGCGATACTTATCCGGAACACGGTTCACCTCAGACGATGCAGTGAAAACAGTTGCCGAGAAGTGGCTCAATGGGCAGGGCCCTGTTTACTACCAAGACTACCAAGTTGGTCGAACGTTCTGACAAATGCCTAAACAGATTTGGCGACTATGTGGAAAAGTGAAGGCCAGATGCGTCTCTTGATTCCCATTTGTATCTTGTTTCTATTGTTAATAAATACTTTTTTATTTGCCTTGTAAACTCTTTTTTTGATCATCCCTCGTATTAAGCTGGAAAAAATGGTAATTTAGTTGATTTGATAACCGAGAGAAAGTTAAAAACACCAAGATAAAACTTAATTTACACTTTTTAATATTAATTAGTTGATTGAAAACCGTCACTCTTCCTTCTTCAAGGAAGTAAGGAAAAAAGTAAAGCTTAAAATCGAAAACCCGCAGTCAGACATTTCTTTAATCTATACTTCAAGCAGTGTTAGTAAATGTTTTTACCATTAAAATCATTAAAATGCTTAAATTTTATCAAGTCATTTAAAATGTGGTTTTGTGGTTAAATAGAAATATTCCGAATCTCCAAAGACCTTGACGTAGCATGAGGAATTGAAGCGAATTCGCATTTCGCATGGGATTACTTCATAATCCTGTCATAATCTTCATGCAAGTCATGCCTTAACAGTGGAAAAAGCCTAAAATAGCTATTGCTCACCACAAATAAATAAATAAATAAAGATGGAATTTTTTCGAGGTAGAAACTAATATGCATAAGACTGCGGGCATATTTAGGCCAGGATACCTTTATGAAAAATTTTGTGTTTTCTGTACTTTTTTGTAATCGGGTCCAGATCTATTAAATGTATGTATTTATGTATGTGTTCATGTATGCATGTATGTATGCACGCATACATACGCACATTTCTGAATCCGGTCCCGGTAAAACAAAAGTACCGTGTTTTTTAACATTAACTGACTTGCATAAAAGTGACTGCATTTTTATGACGGAACACCATTATAAAGGCTTCCCATTCGGAGGTGACAAAATCATTGTATATGAACATGGACGAAGTTTGCCTGGCATTCAGTAAAAAGGATTCGGGTATAGCTTTTCCAGCTTGATTATAAATGAATATAAACATTATTCCCTTGACATTAATAAATACAAAACCATTGTTAAGCATTTGTCAAGTTTGTGTTGTAAGTTACCAAGTTTTCTTATATTTCGCGAAGACTTATTTTGAAATCGTTTTGAAATTTAATCTTATAATGTGTTAAAGTTACGAAAGTGGGGATTTATTTAATAACTTCAAAAATTCCAATGAATCTCCTAATAAATCCGAAGTTTTTATTTAATATTTTGGTAAAAATTTTAAATTTCTTAATGTTCATATCTGAACGGTTTAATACCGAACCATGAATAATGCAATAAGGTAAGTTAAAAACAGATAAAAGAAACAAAGAATGTTCGGTGATCTAATTTAAAGAATGGAATGGGAAGAACAATACATACGCTATATAAGCTGTAATATAAGCCTCTTAAATGCAATTAAAGACGTTTGTAAAAATAAAGTAATTACACAGTTGTAAATGTAATGTAATGGGTAAGAAAATAATTATGAGTATTTTGTATATGGAAGAAAATTCGAGTTTCTTATTTAAAACTTTGAAGCTATAAGTAATACATCTTACAATGTAGCACACATGCATAATATCATACTGAATTGCGAATTATCAACAATATAAATTTTTATAGTTATATTTATTTCGAAATATGCCAGGTTTCTTTCTCGTTATAATTGAAAGTAAAAGAAAAGTACAGAAACCATTTAACTTAGCTGCATTTGGTAAAAAATATGTAAAGATTCTATACTGATAATTTACATTTCATTCATGAAGCACATTTTATCCGTATTAAGTAGCAGAGAATTTCAGGAATTCCAGACTTATATGTATAGGGAGAGAATCAGCGAAGCTCAGGATACTTATCAATTATACCCAAAAAAAAAAAAAAAAAAAAAAAAAAATCATGATTTTGGCATGGAATTATGTAACTCTGAAACTTCAATACTTACGTTCTATGAGTTGCTTGAATTTTTGTAAAGATTTCTGTTACGTAATGTATATCGTAGCGCCACCACTAATAACTAGGTGCGCCTTCTAGCGGGGTGGATGTACATATAGCATCTTTGCTCAAGCTCCAGCAACTAGCGGAGTGTAACACTTTGTCCAATGAAAACTGTGCATTGATTTCTGCCAATCTAAACTTGCGTTTCTGCCTAATTTTAGATTATACACCGAGATGTTGGTCTTCCAGCCAAATATGAATATCAGTTCATGATTGCTTATGTATTGAAACCACTAAAGGCGTGTTCCAGTAAAAACAAATTTTCGTGTCTTAATACAGATATTTATAGAACACTGAAATTGTAGATATATTATTCGTCCAAACTCGTGCTTTGAGAATACCAAACAATTACTAAGGTAAGAAAAGAAAACCTTCTGTAACATATGAATTGCTAGCCAATTCATTTTCTTCGTAACTTACTGCTTGACAGTTGCTTCTTTGTGTACTACTCGCAATTTTTTTCATCACAACTAATAATACCCATCATTTAAAGAAACGAGTTCTCTATATATTTAATTCAGTCTCTGAAGTATTGTTATGTAAAATGGTACAGATATTACCACATGCCAAAACAAGATAAACAAAAACAAAACAAAATTTAAAGGTTTCTGATATTAACGGATGCTCAAAAGGCTTTGTTAAGGTTTATTACGCTCTCGCTGAGCTCGTAGACTACTAGTCTTCTATTGCACTCGCTCCTACTAACCCAATTTTTAGCTTTATTATTAAGCATCGTTTTTATTCGCACTTACGCCACGTACAGTTCAGTTATAAAATCACAAATTTTTAAAAGTTGTATAGCATATGCTTAGAATTCCCAGTGCAGTGTTAAGTGTTGGCAAAACAATTTTGTATTTTTTCAGTCTTTTCTCAGTTATTCATATCAGTCTTCAGTTTTCTTTCTCTTTTTTTTTTTTTTTTTTTAGTAAATGGCTCCAAAAAAAGATTTTTCTTTGGTCTTTTCATCATCAACTTTTTAGGTGTTAATTTTATTTATTAAATACTAGCAGCTTCGCTGCCAGCCTTCGTCTGGCTTTTAAATGTACCGAAAAAATGGCTGACGGGAACACCAAACGTTAAATTTCAAAACTGCGTAGAATTTTACCCTGCATAACAACTTCATAAAAAAAAGGTTATTACGTATAACAAAATTACAATGAAATAAGCAATATCCCTTAATACAAATATTAATTATCCTAATAAATAAATTAAGCAACTTCCCTTTGCAAAATCTTAAGAACTCAAATGGTATAAAGAAGGTTAAAAACTTTGTTTCCTAAAAAAATCACTCAAAACTTTTCAATATCTTAAAAACAGTGAAATGAGCAATAAATAACATAAAAGAATACAAAAAACAAAAAGTTCTGGAAAGCAAAGTATAATTAAGGATATGTTATCTTTTATTTTCAAGAGAAAAATATTACAATGAAATAAGCTATACCCCTTAATACAAAAATTAATTATCCTAATAAAAAAAAATTAACCAACTTTTCATTAAAGAAAAAAAAATCATGCAATACTTTTCAGTGTCTTACAAACAGTGAAATAAGCAAAAAATAGCATGAAAGAAACTCAAAAAACATAAAATTCCGCTCACATTTTACTCTGCAGAACAAATTTATCAAAAAATTAATAAAAATGTATTATATATATAAAAAATGACAATGAAATATGCCAATCTCTTAAAAACAGTAGCATAAGAAATACGATGAAAAATTGTTGCCAAACCCATATTTCTAAAAGAATGAACCTATTCAAAATGATGCGATTTCATCAAAAATCTATCAACAACAATAAGACAGGAAAATTGTTGCCAAAATCACATTTTTAAAGATGTGAGATGTGAGAAATGTACTCGGAAGCTTCATTTAAAAAATCTTTTAAAAATACAAAATATTATCATTTTTCCAAAATTCTTTTTGTAAAAGCATTCTCAAGGATGAAAGTTTAACGTGTCCTAAAAATCAAAGAAAAATGAACTGTACATTTTTAAAAATAAACTTTTTTAGAAAAAAAAATCCCATTGAATTGAAAAGTGTTAAGCTCCCTTTGTTAAATAAATTCGTATTTAAATTTTTCGATTTATTGAAACACGAAATTTATTTTAAGTTTGTAAAATAGCTAAGTGCCTACGTTTCATGACGATGTAAAAATGGAGTGTGTAGAGTAAAATCTCGCTTTCCTATAGCCCATTATGTTTCAAAATGACACGATTTCGTCACAAAACATGAAATAAAAAAATTCGAATTCGAATTTCGAAAAAATCTTTTCGAAGTGCACTGGCTCTTGTGTAGATGTACCTATCTACCAAATTTCGTAGCCGAGGGTCTATTAGCTTACGCGCAGCGCAAACGAAAGACACACACACACACACACTGACAGACTCTTTCTTTTATTATATGTAGAGATGGCGTCATATAAAATTTGATTCAATGTTAAAATCACAAAATATTCAAAAAACAGCTTATCTATAGAATTTTCGATAGACGGACTCCTGCTAAAAGGAAAAAATGTCTTACAGAGTACAGAGTTGCCATTGTGCGCTTTCAAATCGTGGAGTTTGTAATAAA